CAGGCAACAAAAACCTATTTATAAAATTGGTCTTATGATTTTGTGGAAATTTTAATTTCAAGTTTGCCTTGCAACTAAGTGCTCTAGAAACTTGCCGCTCTTTTCTTTTTTTCCTCTTGTGCAGGGATTCTCCTATAGTCAAAAGGATCAAGCACACAAAGATAAAACAGCCAGAGGCGGCGATGAATTGAAGGAGAAACTCCTTCAACTGTTGGTAAAACTGTTCTAATAATTAACTGTTCTCACTGTTAGAAATATGCCCTTTAATTCCTCATCTAATTGTCTTCCTTCAGCTTTCACTCCCAGAATCACAGGAACAACAAATGATTAATAGACAAAAGTCTTTCCTTGATCATGAGTGCTTTGCTTTGGTATGAATCAGAAACGAGTTAAGGGAACTTTCCCATTTTGTTTGAGACGGACATCTTAACAGTCTTACAGCAAGGAGCTTCAGGATTTTATCAGCCAGGTCGACCAACATGAGCACCCCTGAAGGGCCACACTTATATTACTTGATCCTCACTACTTTTGCATGTCCGAAAGCCAATCCTACAGACTTCTCTGCCTGTTCTTGGGGGAATGGTGGGAGCAGCATGGGGACGACCAGTTAAAGTGACTTTTGCTGCAACCTCTTCTCAAAGCAATCAGAGAATTGCAGAACAAAGCCGAAGGCAGGACTCCAGTCATGACCCTCGTGCACATCTGCCAGTCGGGATTTAACACATGTTAAAGAACGAGGAAAGATGTTTGTATGCACAAGGCAAAAAGATTTTGCCACAAGCTGAACAGAAGCCAGAGCGCTCTCTGAAGTGGTGACATATGCACACGTTGGTTATTTCAGGGAATCACTGAGTCACTATTTTAAGAAATACATGTTATTGCTCTTTGAACTGTGCAAGCTGTATTTGGATCAACCTTTCCTTTGCCAGATGTGTTTGGAAAACATTTTTCTCCTGAAACAAAAGCTCTGTCTGTGTATCTCTGGCACAGCATGTACTGGACAGTGGAAAAAGGTACGTATTTTTCAGTTTTAGAAACACAAATCATAGAATCATAGAATCATTTAGATTGAAAAGGATCTTTAAGATCATCGAGTCCAACCGTTAACCTAGCACTGTTAATTTCACCACTAAACCATGTCCCTAAGCACCACATCTACACCTAAATACCTCCAGGGATGGTGACTCAACTGTTTCCATGGGCAGCTTGTTCCAATGCTTGACAACCCTTTCAGTTAAGACATTTTTCCTAATATCCAATCTAAACCTCCCCTAGCGCAACTTGAGGCCATTTCCTCTTGTCCTTCGCTTTTTACTTGGGAGAAGAGATCGACATCCACCTCGCTACAACCTCCTTTCAGGTAGCTGTAGAGAGCGATAAAGTCTTCTCTGAGCATCCTTTTCTCCAAGCTAAACAACCCCGTTTCCCTCAGCTGCTCCTCAAAACATTTGTGCTCTAGACACTTCACCAGCTTTGTAGCCCTTCTTTGGACACTTTCCAGCACCTCAATATCTTTCTTGTAGTGAGGGGCCCAAAATTTAACACAGTATTTGAGATGTGGCCTCACCAGTAAGGGATGATCACTTCCCTAGTCCTGCTGGCCACACTATTCCTGATAGAAGCCAGGATGCTGTTGGCCTTCTGGGCCACCTGAGCACACTGCTGGCTCATGTTCAGCCGACTGTTGACCAACACCCCAGGTCCTTTTCCGCTGGGCAGCTTTCCAGCCAGTCTTCCCCTAGGCTGTAGCGTTGCATGGGGTTGTTGTGACCCAAGTGCAGGACGCAGCACAAAATATTGTTTTACACCCGTAAGCATAACAGTGCCAGGCAAATGCATTCATTAATCAGCTCAAGTCAGAAAAAATAAGCAGGAGAGACTATGCCAACAAGTACTGCATTTGAAACATTTCAGAAAACACGCTGTACACACATTTTGCCAGATACTACTTGGCCACTTTTGTTTTGCACATGACTTACTATGCCATGAAAGGGATATGTTAAATTGTAAGCAAGGCATATCATTCACATCATCTTCATTTTCAGGAATAAGAGGGATCAAGAGGCAACACAAGTTCACATGCAACAACAAATCAAAATAGTTGTCCTTCTTGATGCCTTTTTTTCCAAAATTCCTGGTCTGTTTTTTTGTAATGGTGACTGACCTGTATTTAGACACTTTCAAATCCTATCAACGTCACTGCAACAGATCAACACACAGCTTTCACGCCCTTTTGAGGCTCTGCATCTCTTCTACATACTGGCTATGTTCCGCGTGGTTTAAACTCCATATGGTAGGTTAGGGATAATACGTGTGCAGCCTACCTTTTAAGAAACTGAAACCACTTGTCAGAAGCTTATATGAATAATTGCAGAGGGCCAAACCAACAAAACAATATTTAGGCACCCGGCTACCTTCATTTGCAATAAGAACTGCTACACTGCTAAATAGGGGTGAGAATTTTAAACGTGTCTTTGAACACAAACCTAGCAGTTTGCTCAATCTAGCAGTACTCAAAACCAGCAGAAGCGAAGAGCAGCACAGCACTCCAGCAATGGCTATCGTGGTCAAGGGGGAAGGAAACCTCTCTTACTTGTACTGCTGATGGTCCTTTGTACTTCTTGTTTTTGCCATGAACCTCTCTGCCAATTTTTCCAAGTTTCGGGAATACTCCATCTCTATTTCCGACTTCTTGCGGAAGAAATCCTGCAGATCCTGAAGAAGCTGCACTCTCATTTCAGTCTGCTGCTCCAGGCATTTTTGCTGCTCGATGAGTTGAGCTCGGATCTCTAATGAAAGAAGCACATATCCACTCAGGTCAGTAAAAGCAAATGAGAATTGAGCATATCAGCCAAAACTACAAACACTCCAGCGTACTTCAGCCTCTGCAGCTACACCAGCTGGATCTGGATTTCAGGTCCTGTAGTAGGACGCAGCAGTGGCAGGTCTTGTTTTGGCCACCACACACTAATGCCCCAGGCCACAGCATCCTCCCACCTGCTATATGTCTCACAAATAGGGCTCAGGACTCTGCTGGGCTCATGTGAGCAGAAGACCTGCCTACTCCTTCCACTCCCATCTTCTTACTGGCACGAGCATGAACATCTGGTTTGGAGGGACATCCTTGCAGGAGATGCTGTGCAACCATTTGAGCAGCAGATCCTTTTGCTGCCCTGAAAAAAGGCAGGCTAAACAGGCACCCTCTGGGCTGGGATCAGTCTGCTTACTGCCAGGTGGACCATGCTGGTTGCTATCATCATGTACACCATGGAAACAACCTTGTGATAAACTCTGAAGGCATTATCCACCATAACTGCACACACTTCTGCATCTGCCTCATCTCTGCCATGGAGGGAACTGGTGTACTATACATGCATTCACCCATATTTTACAGTGAATATAGAGAAAAAAGTGGACCTTTATTTAGAGATAGCTATTTGAAAATTTGCACAAGGTTCCAGAGACTGAGGTGTATTTATTAACACGAAACAAAAGCAGTCCATTTATAAGAGAATATATGCCCCCAGTGACCGTCTAGAGTAACAGGCAAAAGCCTCCAGATTTCTTACCACTGTTTTGTCTGCTGTTGTGATATGCAAAATTGCTATTTGGTAGGGTTTTTCTTTTAGTGTTTTTTTTTTTGGTTTTTTTTTTTTTTTTTTTAGCACTTTTATTTCTTGAGTACTAAGCAGTTAATCACATTCTGAGAACACTTTGTCTAAAAACATCCCTCTGGTTCTTTTGAGAGACTGGTTCATTAGAATTTTGTCAGCTGCCCAGGCACATTGTAATCCAACATTGTGGAGTAAACATGGGAGGTAAATGTTTTGTGACCACAATATATGTACATATTTTTAAACAGTTTAATGCTATAATGAGGACTTACTGATAGCAAAATTATATGCCAGAAGTGATGTCCATGTAAATGCAAAATTGTTGTGAACTTTTACTTGATTCCTAATGATGTAACTATGCTATGGGTAAGAAGATGTTGGAAATCTTTGATGCCTCACTGGTTTGAAACAGAAAAGCATTTTAAAACCCACTGCTAACAGCACAGAGAAGTGCAAACCAGTAAGTAGTAATAAAATTGCAAAAAATTATCTGATGCAACTAGGAACTAATGCATCCTTACTGATCTTAAACCAGGTATGAAGGCAGAGATTCATTCTGCTGGGATTTAAACGTATATAGTGAAATAAGGTAGGTTGAGCATAGAAAACTGTTAAGCCAATATATTTACTGGAGGAGGGAGACACTGCAGTGTTTTCTTCCAGACCTCCTATGAGCTACCAACTGCTGTGTTAATCATTAATGAGACCATCCATTTTTACAGTCTGGGAGGTGAACCAAAAAATTCATGGTTTGGTTTTCATTTCATTTCAAATCAGTTTGTTGGAAAAGGACCATGCCTCCAGCAAGGATGAGCCACTGTAATACAACACTGTATCAATGACATTCACGTACACAGAGGAGAAAATCACATTGGAGCTGGAAGGTTATTAACAGAAATGAAAACCCAAGGCTGCTTTTTTGGGTGGCCATGAGTTTTACTATTGCGATCATGGAAAATTCCTGTGTAAAGGAAACCAGCTGTACAGATTCACTGACCAGAAGCAGCAATTTTGCCCATAAGCTGGACTTTTGACTAAATCAAAATCCATGTACATTATCCCTGTACTTTGGCCATCTCCCTTACGCACTACAGATTTTCTACCAGTTACTTTAAAAGCAGAGCTCTGTACAGAGGAACTATGTTCTGATTATTTTGTAGGTCAGTGGATCTTGCTGTTATAATTCTTCTTTTTTAGGCAGGCTTTTACCATAGCAACAGGAAAGCGAAAGATTTTAGAAACAGGAATATATGAATACAGATACAGGAAACAATGAACAAGGGATGACAGATACAATATGAGAAAATGCATTAGCTTTCTGATGCTGTCTGGATTTCCAGTGGACAGCAGTGACTTCCTTTCAATTTGTGTATTAGAAAACAAAATTGGAGTATGACCTCTGAAAGCTGATAGTGCTGGAGGTGTCCAAACTCTGAGTAAGGTTCTAAGTTAGGGGTACAGGGGGACTGCAGCCTTATGAAGGAAGTTCCACAATTTCTGGCTATTTGAATCTCGGCAAGGAGAAAGAACGTGCTGGGTCCAAAAGGCTGAGCCTCTGGCCTCCCACTGGAGGAGAAAAAGGGGAGGAGTAAGTCTCAGTCATGCCGGCTGACCAAAATCTCTCCAGAAGAGACTTCAGCATAGCAGTTCTCCTTCCAGTCTTTCCCATCCTTCTGCTCCTGCACTTTTTAATTCCTCTTTTACTAATAACAAGTATAATGTCATACTGGCAGGCTGAGGAGATGGCAATGAATAAGAAATCAGATCAGCAAATGTTGTGATTTTCATTTTCTGATACGAGAAAGCTGTGGATTTTAAAAAAACCCACAAAACTAACAATAAACCTCCAACAAACATTGGCATAAGAGCCAGCCAGCCTGCGTGGCTGTGCATCACAAAATCACAACTGTCCAAGTACTATTAACCAACACAGTCTACCAATTACCTACTGCTACAGAAAAACACACCGAGGCAACGCCATCTTCTCTAACCAGTCCACATGAGTGATTTCCCTAGGGCTACAAAGAGCAGCATGGAAAACTGTTGCACTGTATTCAAAGAAATAAATACCAAATATGTCGAGAAGGTGCCAAGTTAAAAACTAGTAGAGCCCAAAGTCCATAGATACGGAGACAGGTGCAGCAGGCAACAGAAGGGTGCTTGTCTTTACCCTATTTTGCTGGCACATTTAAATTCAAAGTTGAACTGATATCAGCTGTAATGGACAATGACATTGTCCTATTCTGCTCTGTGGGGTGTCTGATGTCAAATGATTGCCAGGCTATTTCGTACCGGGAACAGCACATTTTAACCCCGGACAAATTAACACCTCCTCCTTCTCCGTACAGCAGCTTTGAAACACACTCACTGGTTTTCTGGCCAAGGGCTGGTTCAAAAGGAGTCCCATCCATTTACACTGCAGCTTGAACAGACTGAATTCACATCGAATGGAAAAAACCTCCCACCCTTTGTCCAAGATTTGCACACATGACCAAAACAAGGAAGCAGCTAATGTGACCGTAATTAAATCAATAACCTCTGAGTAAAGTTTTATTTCTAAAGATTTTCATGTTAAAAATTATTTCAGTTATGCCCTCATTGCCACTATCCTCTAGAACCATGGCATTAAGTATAAAATTAGGTTTTGGTTGTGGCAGTCTTCAAGATATAACTCTAACTTTTCAACAAAACTTGTATTTTCTCCTGACAAGAGGTTAAATCAGAGCACTATGAAAAACAAAGGAGACAAGATTATAGCTGTTCTGAGAGTTAAGTACAGAGTGGATGAAGCTGAACTATGGACATCACCAAAATCATAATCAGAAATAAGCTCATCAAGGTTACCTCTTTGCTCTCAGTAGAGTATTACAAATAACGACTTACACGTCACTGCAGTAACACACCGTATTACCCTGGCAGAGATATGTGTAACCAGTTATAGGCCAGTGCCCCACCTGAAGGACTCGTGGTGAGACATACCGCAATGTGACCCACAATGATGACTCTGGTCACCCACCAGCAAGCAACAAAACTCGGCACCTTTGCTTCTACACATGCCAAAGCACCAGGTTCCATCAGATACCCCTGAAAGCCATGGCAAGCCCCCTCCTGACCTCAGATGCCGCACACCTCGTAAATAGGCAGTATTACCCAAACCAGCCCGCTGCCAGACCAACACTGTGCACGCAGACTGCCACCCCGCTGCAGCACCCCCCGGCCCGCTGTGTCCCGCCCCGTAGTGCCGCAGTGCCCCAGGCACACTGTGCCATGTTGCGCCCGGTCCTGTCGACCCTGATGCCTTCCAGACCACTGCAGACCCTCATTACCAGCTCTTATAGAATCATAGAATGGTTAGCGTTAGAGGGGACCTTAAAGATCATCTAGTTCCAACCCCCCTGCCACAGGCAGGGACACCCTCCACTAGACCAGGCTGCTCAAAGTCTCATCCAGCCTGGCCTGGAACACCTCTTGGCCAAAGCAACTCTAAGGAAAGCTTTGTGGGGCTGTGAGCTGCTTCCCACCCGAGCCAGCCCATGAGCTGTTGCAGCTTGCCACCCTTAAGTCCTGTTTAAGTGGAATTAACTTTTGTGCTCGCAGAGCAGCCCTGCCATGATTTTTGGTTTTGCTCAAAGGCCTAGAAGGTGCTGCAGAGCCAGACACCCCTCCCTGGTCACCCCTCTGGCTGCACTGCAAACCTCCCACCTGCTGTCTCACCCTGCCCGGCACTGAGCTATATTTAAGTCATTATTACAATATACAAACTACGCAGACACATTAATGCAGTAGTATTACTGGATAATAATACAAACAGCCCCAGGGCCCCATCCTGTGAACGATTATAGAAGCAAGCAGCTCGTCAGAATTATTTGAGAGCATGAATAGGCTCTCACGAGGCACAGTTATGCTTGCAGGTCTTTATCTGCTCGGTAACTTTAGACAAACCCATATTGCCTCCCATCTTTCTTTAAATACCGCCTTTACAAAAAAATTTAAATTTTAAATTAGTTCAGAAATGTCTCATCAAAAGCATGGCGGACAATGTATGGTGTCTTAGACTCTATTTCCAAAACATTACAATTTTGTCATTTTTTTTCCCCTCTGAGCTATCAACACATATCTCTCTCATTCTCACATTTATGATATCCCGATCATATTCCATAGGAAAAGATTCAGAC